GTATCCACCATATTCACACGACCATCACATCTTGTCTCGAAGACAGCGATGATGATCAAGTTGGATCACACCATCACAATAAGACACCCGGAAACAATGAATTATCAGCGATCTGGAGGCATCGTCTCCTATCAAGTTTCCAAATTTCACAAGTTGGCGCAATTAATGGTGTACTTAATCACCTGTAAAGGGGTGGAAATGTGCAGCTCGAAAGTTAGACAGTCGGTACGGTAGGAGACCTAACTAATGCAGGCAAATGAGCCTGCATCCGACAACAGGGTGTCGCAGAGGCGGTGACATGCTGCACCAGTGACATATGTGTCGATGGTTTGCAATTTGCAACACCTAACTGCATCTTCTCCTCTCGGAATCATTGTAGAAATTGCATGTTTATGCCCAACCCTATTAATGGACGCCAAGGACTGCTCGTCTGTGCTCGACTACTGCGTCCATTCGTCAGCAGTCTCAGCAACGTCGCATCTCCTCCCTCCTCTCCAATTGGCCTCAGAGACCATCACATCAACCACGTGTTTGGTGCCTACGAGGAGGTTCTTTCAATCAGGATTCACTATCTTCGGCAGGGCCTAGGAGCCAAAAATCTCCTCCTATTTCCCGGTCCATTCGGTTCCATCAGCACTGATTACATGGGCTTCCTACAGCGTCTAAACAGAAATGAGTACGTTCTCTGGGACGGTTTGGTACTGGGTGTTTTGACCAAGTGATGCAGATATAGACCTAGATAGAGATGTGGAATGTCGCACCAGGATGCACGATATATAACTGGCTCACTAGCCGACGACTACAATGCGTACGCTGTTGGTAGGTTTGTTTGGTATGCGTGTGTATTCGTACACAACAGCCATTATGGTGTCTACAATGCAGGATGCTGTGACGACGTCTTAAAATGTAAGTCATGTTATTCATGCATGCGTGTGGTCTGGAGAGGTGCTCGGAAGTCACGTTTTAAAATTTTGCCGGCTCGGCACATCTGAGTGAATTACTTCCAGGAATTCACAGCGCATGCTTATTGGTAGATGGACACCAACTATACAGTTAGTGACCTAACTCATGAAGTGTGTCGAAAGTTACTAAGGAATGCCAATAACTCGCAAACCGACACCATTTCATTAGTCCAATGTCAATGCTACTTAAGTAGAAGTTTAAAAGAATTAAAAACATGAAAGGAATAGTAAAGGCAGTGTTGCGTTGTTTAGAAATGCCAATTTATTTTGAAATGCGCAATATCCCGAAAACGTGGGAAATGGCTCAAATTTACTAAACTTTGTTTTTAGATGTATAGAATGTATTCGCATGCCAAAAGCATAGTAAACATGAGAGTAGACATAAAATAACGTCTAGTAATAGTGTCTTAATGAAGTTTACATCTAAATATCGTTTAATGAGTAGTGTTATTTCATATATGACGGCTGGTCAACTGCCTACATTCTGAGTGTAGATTCCAAAACAGTTTTCCAGTGATTTGTGTTATTTTTGACTCGTTTGAAATTAATGAGATGGGGTTCAACAAGAGAAGCTGGAATTTGCTTGATTTCACCGATTGGGTCGTCGTAGGAACAAAAGTTTTCATAAGGTGGCATGCCATGAGGCCGGTCGGTGCCTAGTAAATTTAAAGAGATTTGATAGGCAGGATCGTAACCATACCATTTTGTGTTTAAAGGGGGAAACTTTCTTCCGTTAAATTAATTTATACATTTCCTTCGTTTTGCATTACGTTGAGTTGCAGATCAGCCTCGAAATATTGCTGAATATTTCATAATTTTCAGTGTTTTCCCCCGATCATCCATAAAGACGGATTCGGAATTACCTGTCTGTTGAGAACTTTAAAATAACATTATTCTTGAGGGCATTTACCAAATGAGTGAGTGTTCGGACGCTCCTTTTCACGAATAAGGTCGTTTGGGTAACATGTGAATACTCATTCAAACATCAAACTCCATTTTCGAGAAAAATGTCTGTCGACAACGAAAGTCAGCATCATTAAGAAAACTTTCCTTATTAAGTTACCTTTTTAAGAAGCGCTTTATTACTGCACTCCGTTGACGGATCTCTGTGTACTTTGCATTTTTGCACAGAGAGGCCAAGTAAAAATTTGACACTTTTGGCCGTTTCTTTTGCGTTCCTAGGAAATACTAATATTTTTCTACCGTAGACGTAAGAACATGCCTTTCTGTATAGATTGAGGCCATTTCCACTGTTTTTGCTCGCTTTTCGTCTAAGTTCTTCGATTATGAATGCACGGCAGAGCGCCCATATAAATACTGATGAAACTATTAATGTTTTGCTCGTTCTATTTCTGAATAAAGTATGCACAGAAGCCGAACAACACGACAAGTAGTGTTTAATATGTTCAAAACTGGAAATGACCGTTCGGCGGTGGTCATTTATGTGACATCAGGAAGAATTTCCCAAACGGCAAAACAATTTCAGCCCATTTAAACGAAGGAATCCCTATCTGCGTTATTACTGTACTTTAGGGCACCCAATCGCACAGATCTGCTAAGTTGACATTTAGGAATTGATAAAACTTCTGGTTTTCTTAAAATAACCGTTGAGTTAGCAGGTTGATCATCATCGGTTAACATAGGATATAAAATAAATTTTCAAGTTCGGCTAATTCTGTTTATTAAAACTCTCCGGGTACATTACTATGCCTTCAATTAAAAAGTCGCTCAGATGCGTAACCGGTGTCTAGGACACGTATTAGCATAGGAAATTGCACGCATACATTCCAACGTCCATTTTCGCTAAACTTTACTGATATTTTATTTGATATAATTACGTAAACACAATTTCTGCACGAGAAAGGGACATTTCATTGAAGGATGTGGATGATCGAAGAAAATGCTCAACGTTGAAGGCGTCCAAAAATTCTCTCATCAGTTTCCGTTATCAGATTTCATGAGATAGGCCACGTACTGTACGAGTGCTCTCCCATGGGCTAGACGGCACCGTCTCCTCATCACCGCTAACTGACGTTCATCTAGAGGGGTTTAGACAGATTTCCCAGTTTGGCCTCAATAGACGGCATCACAACTGGCACATGGGATCTTGCAGACAACGTCTTTTCTTTGAAAGGGAATTAATTTACCCTCGAGAGTTTTACTAGAGTTGTCACACTTGAAAAGTGATTTTTTGTCCGATTCTAGCTATGGGAATCAGTTTGCTGTCACACGGGTTATTTTTAGAGAGCCAAACATTTTATCGATTTTCAAAGGTCAGATTAGCAGGTCTGTGCGTTTTCGGCCCCTAAAGTGCTTTAATGATGCATAGGGGGAATCCCTTGTTTAAAAGGGCTGACATGTTTTGTAAATTAGTGAACTCTATGTTTTGACACCAAAATGACTATCACCGAATAGTCATGTTCAGTTTGGAAGATATGAAACATTGCTCTTCGCACGGTCTAGTTTCTGCACATGCGTAATTTAGAAATGGAACGAGAAAAACATCAGCAACTTGTTCGTATTTGTATGGATACTCTGTCGTGCATTCAAAATCGTAGAACGGAGCCTGAATGTGAACAATGGTAACAGAAGTGACCGTATTATCAGGCGAATGACATGTTCTTACGTTTGAGGTAGATAAGCATTAGCATTCTTTTTTAGCAACGTGAAATAAATGGCCAAATGTGCCAATTTTTTTGGTCTCACCGTGCATATAATTAAAATGCACTAACGTCTGTCAATGGAATGCATTATTCAGGCACTCCCCAAAAGGGTAACTTAGTAGAGAAAGTGTCATAAGTGATCGAAAGCATGTTCTTTGTTAACTTTTGTTGTGAACGCTCATTTTCATGAACGACGAGGTTTCATGGGAAAAACGCCTAAACACTCACTACTTCGGTAAATGCCTTCAATAAGTATTTTATTTCACAGGTTTCAGTAAACACATAGTACAGAGTCCCTCTTTATAATGCAATCCATCGAAAACACTGAAAATCTCAAGGTATGCAACAATGTCTCAAAGCCTATCTGAAATTCAGCGTCATCTAGAACAAACAAGACGTCCGAATTAGTTTTACGGAAGAAAAGCCCTGGCAGCATGTGCTCTTATGAAAACTTTTATTCCTATGGCATCCCCGTTGGCGAAATCAAGCAAAATCCTTTTTGTCTTTCTGGACAGCGTCTGAGTAAATGGAAAAGTGTTTAAAAAACAACGAATTCTCGGGAAACCCTTTCGGAATCTATACTCAGAATGTCGGCTGTTGGCAACCCGCCATACCCGACATTACACTAATTCTTAAAGGATATGTAAATGTAAAATTTGCTAAAACACTATTTTAAAACGTTATTCTTCTTGTGCTGTTTAATTTACTCGTTTCTTGTATGGGCAGCCATTCGGTACATATAAAAATGGATTTTACACGATTGCAACCATCTTTCACTTTTTCGGAATTTGCCGCTTTTCTAAAAAATCTATATTTCTAAGCAATCTACCATTATCTTTGATTAATATAGACATGGGGTCTACGCATTGGTGTCGGTTTGGGAATAATTAGCAGTCTTTCGTAAATTTCGGCACCTTGCATCACTTGGGTCACATAGTTTACACTATTTTCCCCGTAAAACATCTTGTCTTCATCATACACACACACATATGTGTAGAGTAGTCGTACTGTCTGTGATGAACAATCACTCCACCTCTCGAAGGCGCAAATCCGCTTTCGTTGGCGTAGCGATCTTGTGCCGAGTGGGTGATCGAATTTCGCGCCAACTACTTGGAGGCGTGACTGTTAAATGTTGACCTTGTCAGCACCGGCGCCGGCAAACCAAGCACTGTGAGAGCGAATCAATAGCGCCACTGAAGGTCACTCCCGAAGGAGGATGTGTTTGAAGTTCACCTGAGCAAAATGCATCCATTTGGCCTTCGTGGTGGACACGAGGGAGAGTATTGAATGTCGGAGTAGTAGCATGTTGTACTAAGCGGCTTGTCTGCCCGCTATGCTTCTGCAAATATCCTACTCCACGGACTTAGCCTATAGATGGTTACTACAGGACAACCCCTTAGTGTCGTTTGTCCATTCGTCTAAACTATACACGCAGAAATGCCTACTCACAAAGCACTACTGTCCGCCTCTGTCCGCCCTCCCCCCCCCCCTTTAGGTTTACCGCGATTGGCTTTGATCCGCCGGGCTGCGGTTTCAGCACTCCCCCCGCACGCGATTGGAGTGATCCGGGGATCCTGCTGCAAGATGCCCGAGTTGGCGTGAATTTGATGCATCAACTGGGTCATCTGCCCTTCTCCTGCGTGGGCTGGTCAGAGGGCGCCCAGTCGGCCATCCGGGCAGCATCGGAGTTAAATTTTGACGGTCAGTCACATTTTGAGTGGCTCATTCTGCTGCTGGCGCATCTGCTTATTTGTTGTTCTAGAATGCGCATATTGTGGACGCTGACAGTGACAGTATGTCAAATGGCCCGTTGCCTGGCGTCATGATTTGATGACCTCTACTCCCTACACACACACGCACACAGCGCGCGGTGAATGAAACGAAACGAGTTCAAATTTACCTCAGACTGCTGGGAATACCTGAAAGGACACATCACGAAGCAGCCCTTTCAGCCTGACCTTCCGTTCTGGGAAGAACCGAGGTACTCCGTCAAGCTAGCACTCCTAGTTCATCATGATAGATTAAAGTACGCCAAATTTATTTTAGTTAGTAATGCTCCAGTGTCAACGCCGGTTCCTCGGGTTTTACCTAATCAGCCAGGATTCCAAATACCTCCACAAATTTCCACATTTTAGGGGATTTCCCCTGCCTACTGAATGCCCTCCTGGACAATTAATTTTGCCTGAACATGTGTGCGGAATGCTGTGAAATGCTATCATTATTTCGTTTGTGTGTGTGTGATCAGCTTGCTACTGCCAAGTCTTTTCCATTTGCCACCGGCTTATTGTACGCCGATATACGAAGGAAGCCTAATCCATGCATTCAGACTCGATTGATGGCCTGGTGGTCTGGGACCTGGAGGAAGAAATTGCCTCGGAGGACGGGTCGGGGAAAGGTGGTCACATTATGGGCGGCTCCTCCGGTTCGGTAGACGCCTGGCCAGACAGCCGTCGTCTTCCGTTGCAGGCTGTCTATGGTAGAGCGTACATGCGGGATAGTTGGCCTGCCTACGTTGAGACGAGAGAGATGCGACGTATGGGTCCTGCCGATCTCAGCTGCCTGCCGCAGCGTCTCCTCCGGATGCCCCTACTGCATATTGCATCACGGCTCTCTATGGCAGGACAACACCAGGATGCCAACAGCCAATCAACTGAATCGGCTCTCCTCGCCTGTTCGGGCTGCTGTTCAACCCTCTGGCCCGCCAGGTCCGAAGCGGAGCAGAAGGCTAGCTGGCAGCTGCCACACAAGTTGCATGCTGACTTCTTTCAGTCCTCTGTCGAAAACTTTATTCTCAAATCTATTCATTAAAATAAAATGATTCACTGCAAAGTGTCAAAGTATCTCGGAGATGGGCAAGATCCTATTTCGTAGCCGTACCTGTTAGAGGTTAGGGTTAGGGGCTGTGGTTAGGTGTCAGGGTTAGGGGTGAAGGTTGGGGTGGGGTTAGGCTGGAGCATGTCTACTGTAGGCAAGTCAACGAAATGAGATCCGACCCGGCGATTGTTGTCGTTCATTCTGAGTGGCGGATAAGCGGACTACTGTTTTCTTTGTGGGGGAGGGTGTGGGGTGGATACTGTCGGCGCAATTGCCCTAAGCACTGGAGCAGGGGACCCGAGATATTTCGAAAGGAGTGGACCGCCCTTGCTGTTCACGCTATCTGCGTGATGCGTGTTGAATGACAGGCAGGAATGTTATACTGACTGTTAGAAAAGTGTTACGTAAACGGGTTGGAACTCTACCCCGAGACCGTTGCATACACTTATAGATTCGAGCGAGAACAGTGAAGTTGACGCCAATTTTCGTGAAACATTGAAGGAGATTCCTAGATGCAAGGGATTACCTAGGTTGTTTGTGATGATTGTAGGGGGGGGGGGCATTTGAAATAACGAGTTCCTTCCATGCACTGCTAAAATGTTATTAGCTATAAGTATAGGGTTCGGTAGGGGGCAAAACCTGGATGGGGGTCAGTGGGGTCGCTGATAAAGGATATAAGTAGGCTTCCGTTTGCTTGCAATTTTTGAGTTACGATAGGTTGGAGTCGATTCGCCACCGTTTTGCTTGACAAGCACGTATTCGATTCGCGTCCGGTCCCTCGAAACTAAGGATACGAATCACATCCGATGCAGATTGTATTCGTAACTCGTTGGTAATATTAGCATTAATAATATTTTTTAGCAGTGCATGGAAGGAAGTCGTTATGTCAAATGTAAAAGAAATTATTAGAAATGCAAAACTGTTAAAATGTACAAAGATTAAAGTTATGACTGCGTTTACGTACCCGCCTCGCCATTGGGATTGTGCGAATCTGCAAAAGAAACATGTATACGAGTAAGGCGAAAGAAGCTAACTAACAAGTAACGTTTCAATTATATTAAGTAAACTGCATTTATACCACGCAATCTTAATAGGTGATGTTAAGAATAGACGCACTGTTTGCATTCAAAGTATTATTTCGTTTAGGCAAACGGTCGTATGCCCGTTTAAAGGCATTTTTCAGCGCCCTCTCCAGCTGGTGACTGCCGGAGCACTGTCCTCTGTTCCACTGGTCGAAGACCTCTGTAATAAATTCCATCAGCATACATGCATAACAGGTCTTTCCAAGAACGAAATTATACAGAGGTGTTCCGAAGAACGGCCTCTTTCCCTGTTGTCGACCATAGAAGACGTTGAAGGAGGTGATTTCTTCGGAGGACACAACAGTGTCCCCGTCAAGAGAGCACAAGTACGTCACCTAACAAAGTAATGAACGCCGTCGTTACGTAACATGTCAGTTGTTGGCGATAGGTGTTGTCGCCGAGAGCATTGACGAGGGCGTCTAGCTGCTCCGGAGTGTCCACCTGCCTCAAGTTGAATCCGGAGGACTCAGATGGGCATATGGACATGCTCCTGAGGCCTTGGAGCAGATGTATCATTGCTGCGTGCTATTGACGCAACTCAGAGACCAGATGTATAAGCATTGCTAGTGATTGCATCATCCATCGAACGCCTTGCCTCATACTAGCCCACCCTCGCTGGCGATGGTGTTGGTACTCTGGGCGTCCTGTCCGCCGGAGGGTGCTGAACAAACGGTTACTACCTACGCAAGTCGCATACGGGACCTCGAAGTTTACCCGCGTAAGGAGGGGAGGCACAACCTGGTATGGTTGCACTGCAATCTGCTGCTTCGACCTCAGATCCCTGAAACAGAAAATCGGTAAACAACAGATAACCTTACCGACGTTGATGCCACCTCCGGTATCTTCCCCAGGGCCCAGAGGAGAGGGTCCTAGAGATTTTTCGCCTTCCTCTTGTTTTGATAATTGTCATCCGGCGGTAGTTCGCCGGACATGATTATCTACAACCCAACAGGAAAACAGCGCCAGCATCTTTTCGTCGAGGAAAATTCCTCAACAAACCTACGTAGCAAATGCCTACAATAGGAAACCCACTGTTTGCAGGACTGAGGCCTAACCATACAGCCAACTGCTACGAAAAGTAATAAAACATGCTTCATATATCTACGAGGAAGAATGTACCGCATGATCGCTATGCCTGTGTAAAGCAGAAACTGACGCAATTCCGTGCCCTTCCATGTGTCTACATCATTAAGAGACCTGGCACGCTGCGAAAATTGCCGTGGGAGGTACGCATTCAGCCATTTCGGCCTTTCATTAAGCGTACGTACTGCAGCCCTTGACAACCTAAAGGCATTCTCCCTTGGGCTTCGAAGCCACAAGTTCAACAGCCTCCTCATTACACCTAGGCAAACTAAAGGAAGGCAGTCTAAAGGAAGTGAACGGACCATTCCAAGATTACAAGCTAGCAAAGGAGAAATACCAACTGGATGACTGCCATCAGCAGGAGACAAGAACACCTCATCCGTCCTAGCAGGCGCAGAGACACTGTCGTAGACTACTTTCTCAAGGTATTCGCCTTTTACATAGCATCCTTCACAACCGTAATATGCATTAACGTTCTTAATTTGCTTAACGAATGCCCTAGCAGACGCATCACAGATAACGGCTGCCAGGCGGAACTGAAGAGTTCTGTCGATGACGTCGACACGCAGACCAGAACTTGCAAGGGTTCCTAGTTTTCCTACTAGCGGTCTGCAAAATGCCTGAACATCGGGCGGCTTTCCCTGTCCACAATAAATTCCTACTGCAAACATTTGACTAAGAAAGGGCTGGATAATTCTGCCTGAAATTGGCCAAATTTTTCCTTTGGTCTTCTTATGAATAGGAAGACCGTCGATGGCTAAGTACGCTACTATCTCGTCACCTACCACCTGCATGGAAAAGGCACTTAACTGCTCAGTCAACTGTCTTACAAGTCCTAAGTGAACGTACTCACCGCTGTCAAATGCCGTTACCGGTGGCAGATCGCCGGCTTCGCCGAGAAGTGTTCGTGCGTCCAAGGGCATGTTTGGCACGTCGGCTGGCTTCATCTGCCTCAAAATCTTCAGCAGCTTTGTCAAGTGCTGGTGGGGTATTCGGGAACGAACTGCCCAGGTTCGCAGCAGGTCGCGTGCGGTCACATCCACCCCAGTTGGGAAGGACATCGGACGCTCTTCAAAAGAACTGTGCCACTGTTCAGTCGTCGAGGTCGATGTGTCCTCCGAAGAGGACGTTGGGGCGTCTCTTGACAGCAACGATTCATCTTCTACATCCTTCCCGATTGGCCTCTGGGATGACCACGTAGATCAAATATTTGGTGCCTACGAGGAGCACCTGTCTGTCAGGATCCACCATCTGAGCCAAGGTGTAGGGACTAGCAATTGTTTCGGCGTGCCGAGCACCGGTCGTCGAGGCTGATGGTTCCAACGCAAGAGCCTCGAGTGCGCATATCGCGAGTGCTAAGGACAGAACCGTCAATCCCAGACTACGGAAATCAGGATAAGACCAGAGTTATGAAGAAATTAACAATCAAAAGTCAAACGACCTGACAATCCAACACATGCCAAGCGCGTCGCGTCGTGTGTTGTGTTCCTTCCATTCAGTTAAACAACCAGTAAGTTCAAGTATGAGGAACAGGTAGGGAAAGGCAAGATAGTCTGGCGCCTCGGCACAGTACCCCCCTCCGAGACCGGAGGGCGGCGAAAACGACGCCGAAGGATGTGTACAGGTCAAAAAGAAATGAGTGACCAACCGATCAGGGAAGTGTACATGACGACCACTGCGAGTGATATATACAGGGTCCGTAGAAAAGTGAATACATCTGGTGGCGGAAGTGTTGGAGTAAGCGGTGGCAGTCGGAGGTAGCGGACAGGATGGCAGAGGGAAAGGAATCGTATACGCAGACATGTAATACCTATCGGACAAAGGACTTTGGCAACCGGGCACCGATGATCTAAGATCCACAAACGGATGTCTATTGGTCAGGCATGCTGTTGATGTGGTTGTTGGACACCCTCTCAAAAACCGGACACATATCCAGTATCTGACGTATGGCCTTGACTATGTCCTAATATGGTCAGAGGAAAATTATCTCTTAATGAACAACCAAAAATCAGTCCGGTGTATTTTGGACTGCGGCCCTCTCCTGCCCGGAACGAACCAACGCGGTCATAAAAGCCGAGTGTATTTGGTTTCCTCACCTGCGTTGATCGCTATACCCGTTGGCCGGAAGCCATTCCTTTACCGATTGTGCAAGCTGAGACCATTGTGAAAGCCTTCGTCAGTCGTTGGGTCGCCATATTCGGTGCGCCATCCATGATTACGACTGATCGAGGCGCGCACTTTGAGTCCACACTTTTCCAAACTCTCCTCAACTTCCTTGGCTGCACACGTATTCGGACGACGGCCTACCACCCAGCTGCCAACGGCATGGTTGAGCGTTTCCACCGCCAGCTAAAAACTGCACTGCGTGCCGCAGAAGATCCCGAAAACTGGGCAGACAATGTACACGTTGCACTTCTTGACATTCGTGCGGCACTGAAATCAGACTTGGACTGCAGCGCAGCCGAATTGGTTTTCGGCACTACCCTCCGATTCCCTGGTGAGATGGTCACCCCAACCTCTCGTGGTACCGAAGAGACCCCCTAAAATTTTGTGCACCGTCTGGGACAATTCATGCCCTCGCTTTCCCCGGTTCCACCTCGAGCTCCATCGACCGAGCCTTATGTTGAAAACGGCTTAGCCAACTGCACTCATGCGTTCGTTCGGTGTGATCGTGTGCGGAAGCCGTTAGAATCATCATACGAAGGACCGTTCCGTGTGCTTGCACGTAACAGCAAGACCTTTCGGATCCTGCCAGGTGACAAAGAGGACGTAGTCAGCATCGACCGGGTCAAGCCTGCTGTTGTGGAGGAGCCCCCGGACGTGTCTCAAGGACAAGCATGTGCTGACCCCATACCTCCTCCCACTCCTTTTCCACTTTCCCCACCTATCCCTCCGTCCCGTATACTTCCTCTTCCTTCTGGTTCGCAGCATCAAACTACAACCTCTTCCTCCACCCTTAACTTGTCCACTACAACACCTACTCAGCTGTCTCCAACAGTGCCTCCCGCATATATCACCCGCAGTGGACGTCACGTTCACTTTCCCGATCGTCTAGTTAATCATTTCTTCTAGACCTTTGTATGTCCTCCGGCGTCGTTCACGCCGCCCTCCGGTCTCGGAGGGGGGTACTGTGCTGAAGTACTTGACTACTTGACCTTCGACAATCTTGTCGCGTTTGTTTTACTGTAGCATTTGTTTTAACGTGACGAGGACTCCACCGCTTGTAAGCTTCGCGCCGCTTGCATGCTCTCTGGACGGGTCGTTGAACATTTTGAATATTAACTTTATTCACTTACTGGCCTTCCTTACCTCTCTCCGTTTATGAGGTTAGTAAGCCGTAGTTCGTTAGTTCGCGGGAACGACATAACTTACGTCAATAATAATAATAATAATAATAATAATAATAATAATAATTCATAGATATTTTGACAGAATTTGAATGATGTATACTGACCCAACTGTGAAAAACTCGGCGCCTCGGTGGGGTTCGAACCCACGCAGTAAGTGAAAGGCTTTAGAACATCCAACGTTCTAACCACTTGAGCTACGAGGTCCCGCCGGACGACTCGAGTTTAATCACATTTGCGTCAAGTTTACCCGCCCAACTTACTGCAAAGTCTGACGGGGCCTCGTAGCTCAAGTGGTTAGAGCGTTGGCTGTCATCAAGCCTTCCCCTTACTGCGTGAGTTCGAATCCCACCGAGGTGCCGAGTTTTTCACAGTGTGGTCAATATGGATTTTTCAAAATCCGCGAAAATATATATGAATTACGTGAGCCTGGTAGTCATCTGGTGGATTCTAGGTGAATTACTTAGGAAATCCTGCTTGGACAGTCAACTCACTGTATCAGATTTGGTGGATTCCAGACGTTGCAGTAAGTTGGGCGGGTAATTTGATCCAAATGTGATTAAACTCGCGTCGTCCGGCGGGGCCTCGTAGATCAAGTGGTAAGAGCGTTGGCTGTACTGAAGTATTCCCCTTCTTGCGTGGGTTCGAAACCCAGCGAGGGGCCGATTTTTCACAGTTGTGTCTATATGAATAACACTAAAATTAATGATGATAATAATAATGACTAGGAGATGCAGCATGCATTTTTTATATTGCCCTTTGTCAGTTAACCGCACAATGGAATGGTTGTAGGCAGAAGTACGCACATGGAAAGGAAGGGGGTGTTGATTGCTGTGGAAACAGAAGACTGACAGAGAATTGGTCGAGCAGCCCTTACTGTGACAGGGGACTGCAGACGCGACTCAGAAGACATTGGCGACAATTGTTTCAGCAAGGCGAGGCCAAACCTTTGGAGGTGCGCCGAGGGCGGTGCGCGCGTGCGTGCGTGCGTGCGTGCGTGCGTGCTTGCCCACATGACCTTTGTCCGCCTAGAAGCCCGATCAGCGAATGACACAACGCCGATTAGCGTCAAGCTGTCTCCTCGACGTGGCTATGTCACGTGCGTTGCAATCAGTATCCAATTGGCAGGAAGTGTTATTTAGGCTGCCAGAGGACGTCATGAGAGAATAACCAGACTGACGACCAGGAGAACGGGATGCCACAGGCACACAAGCTCGCCTCAACCGCTGACTGTCCTACCACACAACATCCTCGCAGCCGCCACCGTCACCGTCTCAGGACATGTTAGTTATCAGTTAAACGGTCTTCATCTTCAACGCATATATGGGTTGGACTAATGGCATTAAATAGAAGCAACTGGCTGAGCGCCAGCCAGTTGCCAGGGGCTGCCCCAAATCCCACCTTTCGCCTCGACCGATCGTAGCCCTAGGCGGCAGCCCAGTCAGCCGGGATGACTCGCAAACCACCTCTTCTGTGAGGTGCATCTGGGACGTCAGTAAAATCGGCATCTCAACTCCTCACCAATTCCCGCGAGCAAAAGTGGAGCTTCACGAGGCGATACTGTTCGTCGACGTGACACTGTTCTTTGCACCCATCTCACCGGATTTGGTGTACAAGGCTATGCGGTGAAGCATGCATTGAAGTATGGTAAATCACGGGCATGTCTTTACTGATATTGTCATCAATATATTTTCTGCCCCACAGAAGCAGGTGAGGGAGTTAATACATACAGAGGTTGTCTGGCCTGACAGTTTGTCCTTGTCCTCTCCGTATATGATGGGACTAGTAGAGAAGAGTACAGCGGCGTCGACTGCCGGGAAGGTGTGTGATATAGATTGAGTTAGGCGCCTTGTTAAAAGTTCACTTGGCGCGTCCCCTTGAAACGGCACCCTGAGGAAAAGCTTATTTTTGTCTGCCGTCAGCCTCGAGGGCTTTGGTAGTCTTTCGGTCACGTACCTAGCAATGAATACATCGAGGTACCCGTTCTGGCGAATGCGAATTTCAACAATCTTAAGTTCCACCTCAATGCTATCAGCTGAGCAGATCCTCCTTACTCTTTGTGTCAAGCAGTGCCTTATGTTTAATGCTACGAACCTCCTATAATTCTTGTTATGTCCGGACCACGTCTTCTTACGATAGACGCGACGTCGAATACTACCTGCAGGCCTTCTGCTCAAAAGCACATACAGAAAGAGGAGCGATCTGGACTGTTTTCCTTCAAGCGTGAATCTGATTGATGGGTGTGCTTGATTGATTTCGTCCCGTGGGACTCAAACGTCGTTTTGTTTAGGTGCAATCGCGAATATATCATCCACATAGCGTTCATAATATCTCAGACCATTGATCTGGCGACGAAGTTCGAAAGCTTCTAGCTTGCCCATGAACATATTCGCCAAAAGCTACCCCGTCGATTTGTCTATACGGATTGTTGTCAAATAGAAGCCGTACTTTGATGTTACATCCCAGCAGCAATTCTTTGAGAGCATTTACCTCATTCCTATATCATGATTATTGGAGGCAAGGGCTTCACAGAGGTAGTTGACGATTTCTGTGACCGGTACGTTCGTACAAAGAGACGAGACGTCCAGCGAAATCATAATCTTTCGGTTAAAGTCGAGATTTTTCATGCTGTAAACGAATTCATAGGTATACCGAAAGCTACAGTACATGTACTAACTCATGTGATGCTAGCCGGTATTGTATGGGCTTTAGTTTCTCCGCTAGCCACATCGCGGCGAGTTTCTCATGTCTAGAATCGGTGTACCATGTACGTGGATCTTTGGCAAGCCATATAACTGAGGTATATGCGTGCCGACAGGCGGGAGACGCTCTAGGTTGTATTCGCTAATGAAACCATTCGCTTGAAGTCTTTTCAAACAGTCGGTCGGCAGAGTTTCAACCTCATTTGTTCGATACTTTTGGTTTTCTGCCTTTCTGAAATGTGCCTGGTCCGACAGGATTGACTGTATTTTACAATTTACTCGGTTCTGTCCATCAAAACAACACCAGTTTCCTTATCTTTGCCCTGTCGGAGTTGCTTTAACTCCTTAATATGTGACTTCGTCAGCATGCCTCGATATTTCGGGACAGGAATTGCTCACGCCTGCATGATGCATGTTCTTTCACACAACCCGATGCGTTACCAGATCGCGTCAGCGATCGCATATACGGACTGTTTGCAGCTTTGTCCACCATTGCATCCGATCCCATCTCCGCTCATCTGGACATTGTCTTTCCATCGGAGCCCTGTGGGTGTGGGAGGGAGGGAGTGGGGTAGATGTTGCGCAGGTATGCCTCACAATAAACGGATTCACGCCAACCCCGCCAGTGCTGCCTTCAGTCTGTTCGGCATACGGTGCAGTTCGCCAATGGCTGCAATTTCCTTAACCAGTCCGCAGGTCGCCCGAGACTCTGAAACAACTGCTCGGCCTATATGAGCCAAAAAGTGTCTCCGACGATGATCCACAAACAGAACTATTGTGAATGACTGAT